CAAGAAACACGAAGTCCCTTTACTGACAACTCTCAGTCAAGTAAAAAGTTGAACTTCTTTATGTCTGTCCTCATCTGAGTTTCTTGGATGGACAACTTAGTCAGAGACACGAAGTCCTTCTTCTGACAACTCTTAATCAGACAGAACTGAACTTCTTTATGCCGATTATGTTTTTCCTTTTATCATAAGAATAATACTAATTACATCTCTTGATGTGTCACAACCATGAGTTCTCTGACCTTGACACTTTATCAATACTTACGAAAACTGTATCTTACAGTTATTCCCCACTCTCAGGGGCTTGACACTCATGGATCGACTGTAGCACTGCATCAAGGATATAGTCTCATTAACTTTGTTGCTTGCTGAAACAGAAAATTAACTGACATGTTGAAAATTGAAATGTTGAACTGACCATGCAAAAACGATCAGAGTCTGTTGAAAATCGAGTTTTGTTGTCTCACTGTCTTACTGTACTCTCTCTCAATTTTTTGGAACCGTTCTCTTACTTGGATGATTGACCTTTCTTTCCTCTCTTGGAGGTCACCGTAGGGATCAAATCAGGGTCTTTGAAGATGAACTTACGAAGTCTTGACCCTGATACCATGTCATGAACCTTGGATCCATCCATCTCTGATATCTCATAAACTTTGCCTTCTACTTCACCTGTAATTCTGTAGGGACCAAACCATCTGGGCTCCAACCGTTTAGTTCACTGAGTCTCAAGAGAACTAATCGAATAGGAGAACAACATCACAAACTTTCAGTTTCTCTTTTCTTATATATCTTTTCTTGTTCCATCTATCTTGATCTGATAATCTGCTGGATATCATTCTCTCTGCAACATCCATCACTGCTTGATCAACTTCTGATATTTGTCTCATTCTGATCTGGAGGAGCTCTGAAATAGAATAGTCTTTGTTACTCTCTTGACTTAACCATGTCTTGACAATGTTCTCAATAGGCAAGGTAGCATATCGACCATACCACAGAGTAAATGAAGCATATCCAATAGTTCTTTTGACAGTGATGTTGTCAGCATAGACAACAACTCTTAGTACTTTTGGCCAGTTACTGAGATCTCCTTCACACCACTTGGCCAATGAGTCTTTCAGAGTTATGTGACCCCTCTCAACAGGTGCGTTTGCTTGAGGATGATAGGTAGTCACATATCGAATTCTGACACCCAACTTGAGAGTGGTCCTCCTTACAATCTCATTTCTGAACTCTGATCCTATGTCTGAGACAAACTCTCTGATGAAGGGATACCTGATATAGACTTCCTCTATCCAGTCAGCCACCTGCTCGGCTGTCTTTCTCCTCAGAGCCTTTGCCTCAACATAGCCAGAAAAATTATCTCTCATGTTCAATATATACCTCATCCCTCCCTTGTCTAGTGGCATGATGATGAGCTCTATGACCACCAGCAACCCCCTCGTGTAGAGCAACAATTATCTTCAGTTGTCTTTCTTTACCACAAACCACTCTTAGTGGAGGCAGTCCTCTTTTGCTATCCACGAAGAGGTGACCTCGCTTTAGTCTGAACTTCTTCCTTAGATTCTTACAGTAGTATTCCTTCAACTGTTCTTTCTCCATTTTCGTCCCAATCTCTTGGTAAATCTCATCGTATTCTTCAAAAATGAATGATATATCGTCCTCTTTCTTCTCACCTTCTTCTTCTTTCTCAGAGCCTGAACTTTCCCCTATCTCATGGACTGCGATGGTCGCTGCATTGATCTTTGCATACCCGTCTTTCTGTTCTTCCTTTTTTTTTTTTTTGAGAATTGATTCATAGACATAGGCATCAGGGATTTCTCCCCAGCTGTCTCTCTCTTCAGGCCATAAACTCCACTTATAGGAGCTTGGTACTTCATAATCTTCATCATCTTTCTCATCCATAAAATCATCAACACAAGAAGATTCTTCAATAGTTCCTTCAATATCTTCTTCTTCTTCATCTTTTCTCCATTCGATTCTACTTAGACCATCTGCTTTGTTCTTCTCGGTTGGAATCTTTTCCAAGACCAAATCAAAAGTCAAAATGAAGGTTATCCATCTGCTTACTGTTGGATCTACTTGTTGGTGCTTTTTAATTGCACGAATCAGAGCAAATGCATCAGTTATCATAATGAATCATCTTCCAAGGACATAGTGTCTGAAGCACCTGAGGCAATGGATAATGGCTAGTAACTTTTTCCTGAACTGGGTGTCACCTCTTTCTGTGGAGTTGAGAGTCCTACTCTCAAACCTCAGAGGTCTTTCTCTACCATTCTCATCTTCTTGTATGAGTACACCACCTAGAGCAACTGGCCTCCCACCCGCCTCAATGATGAAGGGTCTACCCTCTTCATCGTCATAGAAAGGCACTACCAACACCACACCACCATTTTGTAATCTTTCCTGTAAAGTTTCTGCAGCAGCCTGTCTTTTCTCAGTCCAAGATAAGTTGGCCCCTTGTCTCACCATTTCCCTCAGAGGTTCTGCAAGAGTAGCGAAATGAGGTATGAAAATCCTCCAGAACCCACAGACTCCTAAGAAGTTCCTGACATCTGTTACCCGTTTGAGAGGCAGAGGCCAATTTAAAATTTTTTCTATCTTCTTGGGATCAGGGCTCCTACCCTTGGAGAAACATCTGAAGCCCGAAATTGTGACCTCTGCTTGGAAGAGAAGTGACTTTGGTCCACTGGCAGTCAGATTATACTTCTGAAGTCTCTCTAGGACCAGCTTTACACCTTCAGCATGTTCCCAGACAAACTTCCTTACGCCATCTCCAACCAAAGTCTCGTCTCTTACCATGGGTCCTTTCACAGGGTTATCATCAATATAGGGCTGGTTATCTCAGGTGAGATATTCTGCATGACTTTGATCATATCCCTTTGAACCACTGCCACACCATTAGTCCAACCTTGGGGCACCACGCACATCTGAATGAGGTCTCTTGGCGTGTGCATGGCAGTCATTGGCCGGCTAGTGGGATCAGTGGAAAACTGATCATCGCCAGAATAGAAATCAATTAAAGAATAAATGCATCGACCAGCAAAGGATTCGGAAAGGAGATCAACATTAGGGAGACTACCTGCATCACGTACCGTTACTGAGTTGAGCTTCTGGAGATTCTGTATCCATTTCAATCCACCCCTGGTTTCCAAAAGCAAAACCAGTGATTAGCATACGGTCCATCGGCAGGTTCAGCAATATTGGAAGCAATTTTTTTGTCAAGATACTTTACCACTTCCGTTTCTTCTTTCAGGGCATACTTGGTTGGTCTATCATTCCATAGGATGTGATCAACTGTCCAGATTTTTTCCATCTTAATCATATCCACATCCAACCGCCTTTTTTCTTCATCATTAAAAGAGAAAGCACCAGAAAACTTTTGACACACCTTGAAGCTATATTCCTTCTCTTTAGGCAGAATAAATTAATCAGAGCCTATCTTCTTCGTGTCAAACATTTCCCTGGTGACTCTATTTCCAAATTTTGCAGACTCCCTTAATGCTTTGATAATTCTCCTTTCCTTTTCCAGTATCTCGTCATAATCCTTTTCTATTAGGACTGCTATTGGGTTCTTCTTCACCCCCTTGGGCTTATATATTTTTTTTGACCCAGTGACTATTTTCCTAAAAAAGGATGAGTTGATGCAAACTTTAATTCCATTTTTCCACCTTTGGCGGTCTCAATAGCCTTCTTAAAGGCATCAATCTGCCTATCTTCATCTTTGAGTTTTCCAAGGTCCTTTACCATTTTTGAAATATGATTGATCTCAACTGAGACCTCCTCCTTCGGTTCCTGTTTATCTTTTCCCTTGATCTTTCATACCCTCTTAGCAGACTCTTCCCTTCTAATTGAGTTGGCTGATATCTAGTGTTTGTGATGGTAGGCCGGCCAGACCACGAAAGTCTGTTCTTGTGCAGTTTTCGGGTCTTGCAGACTGATCGAGGATGACCCTTCATGACTGAAGAACTGGACAGTCTCCATCGTGTGTAAGAACGGAGTGCCCAGAATACAGTCATGATCCAAGTCTGGTATCACAAATCTCAATAACTCGACTGACATCATCCCGACTTTAATAGGTAGATGGTCAATAAATCCTGCCACGAAGAGTTCCCCAACAATATTGCTTAGCGTTTGCATCGCAGGCCTATCAATAGTCAGTCAACATGCTTCCATTGCCTTTTGAGAGATAAATATCATCTCTGCCCCAGAATCCACCAAGGCTCGGATTTTCACTTGGTTAATGTAGATCGTTAAATAGCGACAACCCATGGTAGCGAATCTCATCGTACATCTAGGCAAGGTCCTGTTAACTTGACTAGGAAAGACTAATCCCAAATAATTAACCTCTATTCTTTTCTTCTCAATTAACTTCTTCAATTCCTCTCTCAACTTAGGTGCTTGTGTCATTGCTTCCTTGAAGGACAATGTCACCATTTGTTTCTTCCAACATCTTAGTAATTACATCAGTAATCACAGTTTCATCCTCTAGTTCACTCTTAAGTAGAAATTTTATCTTCTTCCCTTGCTCACTCCTCTTGGGTAAGGGTTCTGGTCCTTGATTATCAAGGATTTCAATCAAAGCCTCCTCGGCCTTTCTTCTTTTATTTCCTCTATCATTTGAGGGGTTAAATGTGCATGAACATTCCTCACTTCCCCAATTATCGTGTCAGGTTCCATAACGAGTTCTGGGGGTAATTCACCTTCAAATGACATCATATTAGCCGAACAAACAGGCTCGCTAGGAGAAAATACTACCAACTCAGAGGAAATCTGAGGAGCAGAATTCTCTCCTAACGAAAGCCCGCCTGGAATGATCTCATCAGTCATGTCCTCCACTAAAGAGAGAGACCGTAAAGGCAACTCAATCAAGGCAAGTGAATCATCAGACTCTTGTATGAGTCCCTTGGGCAGTTCGCCTACAAAAGTGTGAACATTCACATTTGCCTTTCTTTTCTTATTTTTCTTCATCTTTTCATCATGCTTAAGGGCAAGAAGTCGCATACCTCCAGGATGTTTGGGATCTCATTTGTTCCATGAACTGTCACAAACTGACTCATTGCATCCTTCTTTGCTACCCCACTCTTCACATCCTCTTCCAGTGGCTTACAGTAAGTGGTAGTATGACCTCCTTCACCACAATAATAGCAGACAAATTTCTTCTTTGGTCCCTCGTCGTACTTTCTTTTCTCTCTGTTCCTTTTTTCAACATTCCCTCCATTCTTCTTGGATCTGGAGGAATCCCCTCTTTTACCATAGTCATCATCAGCATCATCATCCTCATCATCATCACTTTCTGCCTTCTTCTTCCCTTTTTCATCCACAGCATGATTGGCAGACATGTAGTTGGTTATAACCCTCTGAATAATATTTTCAGCATTCAGATTATTTCCTCTGCATAGACCATTCTCTGTCTCCCAGATTTTGGCCAACGTACTAATCTGATCCAGTGACCACTTCTTGTGAGAAACCGTTGGCAAGGTTCTGACAATTGCAACCATTTCATCCCATCTGAGAGGATAATGTTGGGCCTGATTGAGGACAGCCTGCCTTTCAGTGTCGGTGAAATTAGTCAGAAATATATGGCATCTCTGGGCTTCGTCCAAATATGGGATTTTTCTTGCTGTTCGTATGAAGGTATGAAGAAAAACATTGAAAGTGTCATACTTAGCTCTTCTGATGTTGAGTAAGTCCTTGGTTGTAGTTGGAACTGAGTCTTTCTCAAATTCTGTTTTCATTCTTTTCTTGACCTCTTCCCATGTAGTGGCCCCTTCCATCAATTCTTGAACAACCAACCTCGAGTCAGTGTCACAATGAGATAGAAGGTGCTTAAGTCGTTGTTTATCTGTCCAGTCATAACTGAGCCCAAATAATTCATACTCATCTAGGAAATCATTTACTTGAGGCCCTCTGAAACATGGAATTTTCCCATCTGGCCTCTTTGCTCTTGCGATGTCTGATCCTCCTTTTATAGTGTCAACTCTCTCTACTAGTTCCCGTATAACACCTACCAGAGTCTCCTCATTAGTTCCCGCAGAAGAGCTCGGTCTCCCTCGTCCTGCCATCTTGACCATAGACTCTCCCTGATGCTTTCTTCTCTCTCTCTGTCACTTTTGTCCTCCTTTTTCTTATATAGGCAATAATAGACTGTGTAGTAATCAAGGGCAATGCAATCCTTCTCGGTTTTTCAATATAATCTTCAATCAACTCTCTTTCATCATCCCTACTCAATCTTCTATTATACCCTCTCACAGTACCCCGAATCATAAAGTATCGAGTCAAGTTTATAATCTCATAATCAAATTGTATTGCCTACAAAGTATTGTTGATTCTTCTGGCAAGAGAGACTCGTTCCCTAAAAGAGCAATACGATGTTCCTTCAGTAGTTCCCACTTTCACCACCTTCAGTAAATAGTTAATCTCAGTCTGGTCAGTGACAACCCTCAAGGCAGAATCTTTCATCTGATCAAAGAAGGGTTGCAAAAACTCAAGTTCATCCAAGGTAGAGAGGTTTCTATCAGAGATCCGAAGAGTTTGTTCCACCTTGACTATCCTTCCTTCCTGCACTACCCCAAACGTTAGTTTTTTAGTCAAGCTGCGCATTGTTAACCACCATAAGCAACATCTGAAAGATAGATCTCAGGCTGGACATAGTCAAGTATTTTGAACCTGTGTTCAAAGGTACTCAAAAGAAGGGATTTTATCATCACAATAGAGTTTTTCCCTCTTGCTCTACCAACCTCAGCAATAGGCTCTAACAGAGGCATCCAATCTCTTCTCTCTTCAAATCCATCAACAATTGAGAAATAAGGGAGCCTCTCAAATTCTCTTACTCCCACTCCCCATGTCACTTTTCTTCTTAACTTTTCTAGCCACTCTTTTATCTGCTCAAGACTGATATACGCCCCTTTTAGACACTCCAAGTAGTTAGCTTCCTCCTCTAGATTGACCGAGGAGTAAACTCTTACGTCCAGACTGTCAGAGTTTAGGAATTTGACCACACGAACGTGAAACGTTATATGTCATTTTCCGCAAGTCTCATGCCTCAGGATTACAAAGGGATTGTCATACCCTGTCACCTCATAAAGTTTGCCCCTCACAGTAGTTATTCTTGCTACTGAGAGTATTCTTCTTGGACTCTCTTCACTTTCCATATAAAATTTATCATGACAGACCAATTGTCTCTCGACGAGTTGATATCAGGTAAGGGAGGAGCTGGGAGTCCCTCAAAGACAGTAAATCGAGTAGATCCAATGAAACATTTATTTTCTCTCTCAAGTCTCTCTTTCTCTTTCAGTACAACCTCTTCAGCAAATCCACAGCATCTCTCATACACTGCTTCAGTACTCCTTTCTTTTGGGATATAAATTCTTACATCATACGTGTCCAGACCCATAAAGTAGAACATCGGAATGTAGAGTCGTTCCTATTCCCATCCGCTCTCGACCATTTCATACTTGACGACCTTATATGGGAACAGTTCTTTCTTACTTAGAGCATTCAACGATCTTATGAGTCTTTCAACCTTTCCATTGCTCGGACCTGAACCTCTGCCAAATTTTGACCTTCGCTGTTCACTTTCCTCTGCTGAGATTTCCTTCGTTCTCATGGCAGTACATCTATTCCTCCCACTTCAGTACCATGTTGATGATTGGTAACCAGTTGTTCCTGTCACAATAGCTGTTAGGAATAGGAGGAATAGGAATTGTCTCATACGTTACTGACATTAAACCTCATTCCACTCTCTTCCTCTGCTTGATTAACTCTGCCTTCTCATCATAAAAAGATTGGATTGCAATTCCCCACAACCAGTTAAAGGTCTCACCATCATCACAGTCTCCCTTCTTGACATAAGGACGAATATCATAAATATCTCCCTCCACTACGCTGATGGCCGAATTGCCAGAACAGTAGACCCAACAATGCTCATACTGATAGGCGAATATCCCTTTAGTAGTTACTTTCGAGAGTTCTTTCAATATATCAGTAGTTAACATTTTTTATGAAATCCCTGAGCTCTTGACTCTTTTTTTCCCTTCGTAGTATTTCAAGGACATCATAGGCTTATGAGACATACCTGAGATCAAGCCTGATTCTCTCCAACAATAATATCAATCTTCTTCTCCAGTCCAGTGTAATATGTCACACAAGGAAAGATATGACTCAGTTAGCAATTAGGTTTTTCAAGAGAATAATGACTCAAGAAGGATTGCAAAATCAGTCTAGAAAATTCAGAATTTGTCAACAGTTCTCAATGCCTAATCAAAGCTCAAAGCTGTTTGCTGACCCAGGCTCACTCCGGACACGAAAATTTTTCATGTCCCCGGCAACGGCGCCATTTTTGTCGCACTTTTTCCAGTCGGGCCACTTCAGGCGACCTGAAAGCCAACAGGTTGTCACGCAAGATTTGGCTGATGTGTTTTGCATTAAATAAAATAAATTAATTAAAACAAATCCCTTCCTGTTGTGTGCGTCCGGCTTCGAGCGAGACCCTTCAATTGCGGTTTTCGCAGGTCCTCGGTCTTAGGAATCTTTTATTTTGATTCGTGACAGCAGAGAATCATGCAGATAATAATCATAGAGTTTCAACATGTCTTGCATGCATTAACTTTATCAACTTACTAACTTTGCGAACTGTGACAGAATCATCAGAGAAAAACAATCATCGACAAGCACAATGCAAGAAGCAAGACTGACTGACTCGGGCAAAGACAAAGTTGAGTGAAGAATGAGAACTCATAATAGTCTCAGAAAGTACACATGTAAAGAGCATGGCCAACACCGATCAAAAGTTCTCACTCATCCCTGTGAGTCCTCTCTCTCCATCTTTCATTTTGTTGTCCGTCTGTTGTGCTTTCGGCTATGTCTCTGTACTCTCTGAGGTTGTGGCCTTGGTATATAGAGCCACMTGAAGCCTGCTAGTTCTGAGCATTTCCATCTAAGTCCCATGATACGGAAATCAACCATGGCACAAAACTCCTCTCATAGTGTAGGAAGATACGGCTGAGAAAAGATCCCTCGTCTGAGATGCGGGAACTCGGAAGGCTCAGTCACTGACTTGTAGTCGATTGCTGCAGGTAAAATGTACCTCTTTGCCAGATTCACCAAGTCACCCCAATAAGAACCGTCTGTCAGAGTAAAAGGAACGGGAGGCCTGGGATAGTCTGAGTAGAGCTTTGGTCCTAAGTTGCGGATCAACTTAGTACCATTCTCATCAAGCTCCTTCTCCCTCTCCTCAAGATACCTTGTTGCTGTGGGCCAAACTGAATCGAAGTGCTCATGATCTTCCTTACCCCTCCTCACATAGGTTCTTAGGTCTTGAATAGTACCACCTGCAAACTCAGTGAGGACAGCCTAGATTGACAGGCTCCCTTGCCTGAAGCCCACTGCACTAACATATCGGTATTGGAAGGCCTCCTTGAGCGCAATCTGATTGAGGCGAGTAAGGATGGCCCCAGGGATTGGAAAGGACTGAACAATACTCATATGGCGAGTTGAATGCTGGAATTGATCACTGCGTCTTTTGGTAATGATTGACTGTTGGCTGACACTGATTCCTGACGCAAGTAGAATAATTTAACGTTGATAGACGGATGGCTGGATGCTGCTCGAATAGTGTTTGAAAGTTGTTGATGATTAAATACTGGGATCCCGATTTACCGAGTTCTGAACTCTTAGAGCCGGAAACACCGAGAGTATTGTTGTTTGCTGGAGGAATAGGTGACTGTGACTTGAAGAACAACCGGTTATGGGTTCGTTGGCAGTGATCGTTTGATACCAGGCATAAGACCTGTTGATTACTCCGCTGACGAAATACTTGGAAACTGGAATAGACAGCCCACTTCACCCGAGTTTGGTCTTGGCCTAATCAACAGTCTCTACAAGCAAGTAGGTACTGTGTAGCTTACCGTCGTGACTGTAGAAGTAAGTCACGTATTCTATGAACCTTTCCCTCGTGACCATCCGAACTGTTTGTTCTCGCTGATACTGCCTATGAGATTATGTATCTTGACACGCCTTATCTTCCCATCTCTCTACTCCGTCTCGGTAGTTGGTATAGGACATCACCAGAGTATCACGGTTGTACATGATTCTCAAGGAAAGGAACGAAAGCCCTGCTAATCGTAGTATTAGTGTAAGATAGAAGAGCTCGTTAGGTTCTGACCATTTGTTGCAGTTAAACGTTGCTAAGATTCTCCAGCTGGTTGATTACCTGTTGCATGTTCTCAATTAATAAGAACCAGGACTACATAGCTCTAATTTGCTTACTCTATGTGCTTTCTAGATCATTGACTTTGCTTCACTCTGCTTGTATGCAGCACGGAGGCGAGGTCGTTACTAGCACGCAGAAGCTCTCCTGTCTACTCATCCTCTTTTGTCCTACCGTGTAAGTCCACTACACAAAATTTT